GGCTTTTAATGCTTCCCAGACCTCTTTACTTGAAGATTTTCCTCTCACATAATTAAGTTGCGAATCATCCAGGCATAATATTATTGCAGACAAATATTCAGGTCAACTGAATCTGGACACAAGACACTTCCAACACGGTGCTCCATGACAGTAACGCCCCGAGTATGTGGGAAAATAGGGATGAGTGCCACACATTAAGCTTTTAATTACCTCAAATCATACACCCAGTCCTCTCTGGGAGTCCTCTATGAGTGGAATGCCATTGTATCTAGCCTTGTTTTTTATTTACTGTTAAGCATGGGGCCCCACACCCATTGGATGTGATGCAATTTAATTCTTGCATGAGAGATGTATGTCATATATGCTAGATGTCACCAGTGTATTTTTTTAAATTGCTAAAGCCCTGACACACATCACTGGAAAATATCATGGTGCTATATGGAAGGACTGTAGCATTTCTGTGAGAGATCCAATGAATTGTGCAAAATCAATGAGGCACAGCAGCATCTGTTTTCAAGATCATAGTCCCTGGAGCATAGCTCCACAACACAGGCATCTCTCATACTGCACGCAATGTGCTCCATCTACCGAGAGTGGCATGTTGAGGAAATGTAGCTCAAGTCATTAAGTGATGTTGTAAAATAGGGTTGTGAGAGGAAAGGGGAATCTCAGTGGCAGCCAAAGTACAAACCTCATGCCCAGTCTATGAACTGACATAAAGAGGCATGGAGAAATTTATGCAAGGGCTATAAAAACTTATGCAAGGGCTATAACACCATCTTTGTTGTCTGGATAGTTTTACTTCCCTCCATCCAAAAGATTTCAGTTTGTTTTTCAACTGAATTGTATAGTTTATAGGTCTCATTAAAGGTGGAAAAAGTTCTGAAATTATTTATCTTTGTCTAATTTATTTTTACATCACAGACAATTGACATTTTAACAGGGGTGTGTAAACTTTTTATATCCACTGTATATTGGTGTAAGTGCAATAGTGTAAACTGTGGTGGCACATTGCTGCTAGTTTACAAGCCACTGCTGAGCACAAGTCACCTGACTTGTGCACAATAAGGTACACAACCTACAACTTGGTAACTAGTTGCAGTCTGCTTCTGCAACTGTAGCCACTGTACTTATATTGGCGTAAATAATTTGTAGGAGTCTAGCCAACTTTTAAATATGCATGTTGCCAGGAACATGTCTCCTTAGAGAAGTAATTCCACTAGGGGAAGGAGCCAACTGTAGCTCCCAGCATCCACCACCTTTCCAATATAGACTGGGTGAGATCTAGTAGGTGCAAGAGTGGGCAACTATGGACACATTTCCATCCCTACATTTCTTTTTAATCACTTATTTGAGCTTAAATCTCTTTAGCTGTGTACTTTGGTCCTTGCACACCAGCCTTACCAGGTAGGTCACCCAAACAACCAAAATAGCAAATGAAGCCCTTGTAGCCCAAGGCACTTTCTTGAGGCACTCTCACTCTTGCCCCCAAGAATCACACTTGGGTAAAATATAGAATATTTATTTTCAAAGAGTAAAAAGTTATAAAACAAAGAAAATACAAAAATATACAACTGTGCCAGTTAAACACAAAACATCTAGGCATTAAGTAAGCTTCTGTAAGCCTTTCCCATGAAACAATAAAATACTAATAGCTTTACTACTTAATTGCTAGGCTCTTCTAAGTTACTATGACTAAGTCTCCAATCCATCAACGAAGGCTGTAAACCTGTTATCCATCTTCTTCTCCAACTTACGCTCACACACCAACAACCTACTTAGCCCCTTCTTCCATAACTTAAATCAAAGTCTCTGTCCCATGATGGTATCCAGTCAGCATATAGTCCTTTGTCCGCAACTCCACGCTGAATTTGTAACTTTCCACAGCTCCTTTTCCTCATCCCAGGCTGGTACACTGGTAGGCCATTAGTAAGGAATGTTTTCGTTATCAGTCCTGAGAAAATGACCTTGGCTCAGCTTCACAGGAACAGTCTCTAATCACAATGAACACCTGCAAGTCCTGGGAAATAAGTACTACAAAACCCATGTCCTCACATATGTATTTTAAAGGTCTTTTTGACCACTAGAGTCCAGGAGGGTTTTTTTGCGGGGGGTAAATTTTGCCCCCATTTTTTTCAGTGTACAAGAACACTTTGTAGCAATCCTTATAGAATGTAGCCACTAAATTAAAATTAAAATACATGCATTCAAATTAGCCACTTTAGCTCTTGACCAAAATGGCCCTGCTAAGATTGCTCAACCCTGTTCTGTAATGTTAAAAATCTGACCTGCCTGATTTTAGACTTAGTTGTTTCTCCTTTCACCTACTCTGTAATGCCTGGTGGAATGAAAAGGCTTATAGAACTAGAAGACTCACTTGTCTGGGGATTTCATCCATGCGTCACTGGCTTTTTTCTTCTATTTGATTTGTTACACACACCCAAAATCTGGGCAGGCAAAAAAGCCCTGAAGCTACAGTACATTTTACTTATTTAAAATATTTTTACCTCTCCTTTCTCCTAAAAAAGGATACAAGGTGGCTTATATCATTCAAAGACAAAATTATACAAAGATGGCTTACATAATTAAACCACTAAAAACAATGAGTATGCAAATATTAAAAAGGAACAAATACCACACTCAGAAATGGTAACCAAAAGCAATACTAAATACACATTCAAAGCAGTAAGGCATAACAATCTATTTAAAAATCCCACTCAGGCAGCCATTCTCTCGCATTCAAATTAGCCATTTTAGCTCTTGACCAAAATGGCCCTGCTAAGATTGCTCAACCCTGTTCTGGAATGTTAAAAATCTGACCTGCCTGATTTTAGACTTAGTTGTTTCTCCTCTCACCTATTCTGTAATGCCTGGTGGAATGAGAAGCTTTATAGAACTAGAAGACTCACTTGTCTGAGGATTTCATCCATGCGTCACTGGCTTTTTTCTTCTATTTGTTTTGTTACACACACCCAAAATCTGGGCAGGCAAAGAAGCCCTGAAGCTACAGTACATTTTACTTATTTAAAATATTTTTACCTCTCCTTTCTCCTAAAAAAGGATAAAAGGTGGCTTATATCATTCAAAGACAAAATTATACGAAGGTGGCTTACATAATTAAAACACTAAAAACAATGAGTATGCAAATATTAAAAAGGAACAAATACCACTCTCCGAAGTGGTAACCAAAAGCAACACTAAATACACATTCAAAGCAGTAAGGCATAACAATCCATTTAAAAATCCCACTCAGGCAGCCATTCTCTCAGGAAAGCCCACCTGAAGAGAAAGGCCTTTGCCTGCTTGCAGAGGAACAGCAAAGATGGGGCCAGGCTGGCCTCCAGTGGGCAGGAGTTCCAGAGTCTTGGAAGCAGCAACAGAGGTCCCCTCTCATGCACCTACCAAATGGGCCTGTGATGGTACCAAGAGAAAGGCCTCTCCTGATGATCTTAATACCCAAGTATTCATATTACACATGTTGACCATCCAGAGTAACCACTGGATTAGACAGCCCCTCTAAAAATCAATCAACAAGCAAACAAAAATCAAAGAAATAAAAAGGGGAAACTGTCCTCAGTCTTCTATACCACCTGGGTTGAAAATCACACTTATGTAATCGAGCAGAATTGATTCTGAAATAAAAATTGTTTACAACCCTCTGGGTAGATTTTACTTTTCGACAGTTCTGCACAATTTCCCTTAAAGCATAAAGCTCTAAAGCAGGACAGCAAAGGCTGCATGCAGGCGTCAGCTGGAAACGACGGTAGGAAACAACCCAGCCATTTAAAAACTTGGCTCTTCAGGCAGGCGTTCCCTCATGTCAATTCCTGAATTCTATCTTTCTGTTCTTGGATTCCCCATCTTGATCATGCTATATTATTGTTCAAATGTTTTTTATGATTATGAATGTTATTTATTTTTGATTGTGATGTTTAGTGGGCAGGAGTTCCAGAGTCTTGGAAGCTGCAACAGAGGTCCTCTCTCATGTACCTACTGTACCAAATGGGCCTGTGATGGTACCAAGAGAAAGGCCTCTCCTGATGATCTTAATACCCAAGTATTCATATTACTCATGTTGACCATCCAGAGTAACCACTGGGTTAGACAGCCCCTATAAAAATCAATCAACAAACAAAAATCAAAGAAATAAAAAGGGGAAACTGTCCTCAGTCTTCTATACAACCTGGGTTGAAAATCACACTTATGTAATCGAGCAGAATTGATTCTGAAATAAAATTGTTTACAACCCTCTGGGTACATTTTACTCTTCGACAGCTCTTGGGCGATAGAGGCGAGAAAAGGGGAAAGCACCTCGCCTCCCTTCGGGCCTCTGCATTCCCCGCTGCTGGAGCTCGCGTCGCAGCCATTTAAAAACTTGGCTCTTCAGGCAGGCGTTCCCTCATGTCAATTCCTGAATTCTATCTTTCTGTTCTTGGATTCCCCATCTTGATCATGCTATATTATTGTTCAAATGTTTTTTATGATTATGAATGTTATTTATTTTTGATTGTGATGTTTTTGTTATTTAATGATTTTATGATTTTGTAAGCAGCCCCGAGTAGACGCTGTCCAGGGGGGCGCGGTATATATCGAATGAATGAATAAATAAATAAAGCCAGGCTAGAGGGCGAACTATAATTTTAAAGGCAACTGGAGTTTCTCCTTTTGCTAAAGCGACCAGCTATTGGGCGACAGAGGCGAGGAAAAGGGGGAAGCACCTCGCCTCCCTTCGGGCCTCCGCATTCCCAGCTGCTGGAGCCCGCGTCGCCTCCGCGCCCCGTCACGTGATGGGACCCCCCTGGCGCTTATGACGTCACTTCTGTATCTTAGCAACCTGAAAATTGTAGCTCGCCTCCCTTCGGGCCTCTGCATTCCCCGCTGCTGGAGCTCGCGTCGCCTCCGCGCCCCGTCACGTGATGGGACCTCCTCTGGCGTTTATGACGTCACTTCTGTATCTTAGCAACCTGAAAATTGTAGTGTCCCTTTGGCGGGCTTTCAGGGCCGGATCCGTTGGTGGTTGTGGGCTTTTCGGGCTGTTTCAGAACATGGTCCAACGGCCCGAAAAACCTACAACAACCAGTCCTCTAATACTGTAGTTGCGTCGTCCAAAAGATTTATATAGCTGGAGCCTTTGTGGTCAGCAGCCACGAAACTGTTAAGTTCTGAGACTTAGTAGGTTAGCCTTTCAGGTGTCACGGGAGTTTTTCCTTGTTTTTGGCGCAACAAACGGGTTCTTTTTTTGACCCTTCACGACCATCATCCCAGGAGGATGATACCTTTAACAAACGAACGTTTACGTCAGGGCGAGCCGTTCAAGGACTGCAATCCCATTCCTTCACAGTTGCCTTAGCTCTCGTCCTCCTGCCTTTGCAGTTCGAAGTTCATTATTGACAATAAGCAGTTACTGTTTTAGCTTTCATATTGCTTTTTAATGATGTGACCTGCTTTTTCAGACTCATTATTCTTGCTTTAAATATTATCTTTTAATGAAGTAAACCACCGTTGTATACTCATTTTTCAGCTTTAAATACTACACATTTCAAGGATGTTGGCTCCTTTTAAAAGAGAAAATATTTTAAAGAACGAACGAAGAAAAGAAAATAATTTCATTGATTTGAACGGCACTTCATCCCCAAGAAGATTTCAGCCTCAAAGCCAGCCTCTCCCGCTCCAGATGCAGGGACGAAAGAGGAACAAGAATGAATAGCCTAGGACGGTTTTGTGATTGTCAGCAGAGCTGCTCTTCGCCCCACCTATAGAAATCTAGCAACAAAGAGTGGAGAAATAATGTTGGGTCGAAACTGAATCTTATTTTCAATTTTAAAAAAATCGGTCGAATGTGTGAAACGTCTAAAAACCTAGCATGACTACGTTGATTATTTAACCCACAGTAGGAGAAAGGGAATGAATTCTCCCCTTCCAGCCCAACGCAACGAGTGCGATTAAAATCCTTTTTATTATACTTCGCCGTCTAAATCTACCTGCCAATTCCATTCCGAACAGCCTTTTTTCCCACTGATTTTAAGCGTCACTAATATTCTGTGCATTTCAGTCTTTCCAGATGGACACTAAGCTGCAGAAAAATGTCTCCCCCCCCCCCAAAAAAAATACTGGA